TATTGTTTTTTTTCTGTATTAATCCGGGTTTCAGACTTCCTTCTTTCGTTGCTCCTTTTCAGAGACTGAAACACTTTATTACTTGACTCACTGCGAATTCTAACACTCAACATTTGTAATCATAATCTGTCACGCTCGGCAGTCGCTTCGATTTCCCCATGTTGGAGCATCCTTCCATACAGTCTTGCCAACATACCAAGTCGTCAAGTGAGATAGTATAAGCACAGGAAGTAGGTTACTGAATCTATGTTGTATAAGCAGTGGGATATACTTCCGAGTTTTATTAAATAAGTCCAGTCGTTACAACGCCCATATATCCTGCCCAAAATGTTACTACCGTATACTGTTCTTGTGTTGTTTCACTCAGTTTTTGTCTTTGATCTCCCACTCCCTGGAAGACCTCATAATCGACGAAATGCGGCTGATCACATACGATGCGACACTATCAAAAAAAATATTGCAGGTGTAGCTAAAGTAACCTCCCAAAACGTTTCGCGCGAGGCCCTAGTTACACCAAAAAGTATCCATTTTCACCACCTTCTCTCACAACACAAAGCCTATGAGATTCTGCCAAAACTTGGCAGTGCATAAACAAGCCCGTAGATAACCTGGAAAACATTTCAGGATTTCCAAATATTATAAAAGAGTGGAGAAAATGTCGTTTAAGTGGAAGGTATTGGTTGTCATGTACTTTTTTGCATGGAGCCCCATACAAAAATTTAGGTCACTTTCACACAAGTCAGCGCAATCATGAACAAGGAATACAGTTTTGATTCCTTGCGCTTCTAACTCTTGGGGATTAAGTTTATACTAATTATCTAGCTGATGGAAGGTTTTGGAGTGTTTTCAAGCAGGTAGCGTTGGGAATTGTCTGTTTGAAAATGCGTATTTTTCGCTAGATTTCGTGTAAAAACCAGTGTCGCGCGAAATTTTTTGTCCTAGTACTTTACATTGAATTCACGGAACATAAAGCTACAGAATTTAATGTCTAGTGCGACAGTGTGTGCCAGAGATTTATACCTTGTTTACAGACTTCAACACTGGCTAATAAAGGATGTAACAAACAATATCGCTTGATGCTCAAAGATCCTGTGAGTTTCGTGGCGGTTTTTGCATTTTTTTTTTTTTTTCCTATGAGCTGTTGAGAGTAAATAGAAACAGGTTTTAGGATTGGAATGAAAATATGGACTCTGACAAGCATTTCCAAGCTATAATACAGAGTAGCAACCGCCAACACCGTTGTTCAATGTCCGGTCTCGTAAAGCTAACTACATGAGCTATGAGCGAGCTTTGGGGCACCGTCTATAATAGGAATGGGTGTTGATCTTGACTTTCAATAAACATCTCTAACACCGTGCTCTGAGTTGCGCAAACGGAGACTTTTGTACACACGGGAGTTGATTGTGTGCTTTTGAGTGAGGTTTGTAACAGATGGGGGGATCGGGTTTAACTGATCCCCAATTGCGGGATGTTTACTAAGTATGGAAAATCGAAACCTGTAACTTATGTATTGTATTCTTAGAATCGAATACAGTATGTCTATCGTATGCCCGCTATTATTGGGCGAAGCTCAATCATCTCATGGCTATTGCTTCAAAAATCACACACGTATGATATTACGAATGTTAGGTTAGGGTTGCAAATAATGATAACATGGCCGATAAAAACCAAAAACACACACCAGGTGGACATGATTACATAACACAATTACATAACAAAAGGTTAGGTGTGATACGGTACTGTAGTATCATACCTCTTAATTTTTCCGGCGCATTTTCCTAGCCCGCTTCACACCTCTCGGAGGCTTTCTTTGTTTCTTAGTTGGGCGGGCATTGCTGTTAATTTGGCCATTTGGGGGGATCCTTCGGTTGGTTTGATTTGGTTGTCTCTTTACAGTTGCACCTGGCTATAATGAACGCCAAGAATCAGGACCTCAAAGCTGCGTTCACTAATTTTTACTATGGGGGTTCACTATAGCAAGTTGTTTTCCGGTGTAAATTGACTAGCGTGCCGCAAGAGCCGGTTCATAATATTCATTATAAAGGGGTTCATTATAGCCAGGTGCAACTGTAGAAAGGAAAAGTTTGGAAGGAGGGAAAAAAATTTAACCGGAACAGACAGGGATATACAAGGTCCAGCAAGAAGTTATGGAACAGTTATTTCAGGTTAACAAGCCAAATATATCCCTGTCTGTTCCGGTTAATGGTCCATACCCTTGTATTTCGCCTGTTAACCAATAACTGTTCCATAACTTCTTGCTGGACCTTGTACTGGCTTGGCAATTGCATTCTAACTATGATATTCCTAACTCTTTTAGGGTGCGTCTGGTCGCCCTCGGCTTTCAAAAGTGCTAAAATCGCAAAACACAAGTTGTACAAGGTATAGGGGGGATGTTTTCGTACAAGACAGGGATTATTTTGCGGGTTAACCTAAATTAACTGTTCGTTTATTTTATTTTATTTTATTTTAAACTCCTTTCCTCCTCCTATTCCCACCCTCCCCTCACTCCCACTCGCATCATCATTCCACTCGCATCACTCACTCCTATTCGTCCACCCTCGAGGGGGTGCAAGTTACCGGTATGAAGAACCTGAACACAGGGATTAAAAATTTGTATGGCAAATTGTCTGTGCGCATCTGAACGCCCATACTGAATTCGGACTCAAATGTTCTGGTTCATCATGCCAGCAACTTGTACTTGTACCCTGCAACTGTAATCCATGCAAATGAAAGCAACGGTACCGGTGCTCGTAATATCGCTGTTGCATACCACCAAAATTCTGGCGCCCGAGTCGATTTTTGGTGGTATGCAATAGCAGTCTTTTTTAAAAACGCTTCGACATTACGAGTAGAGTGTCTGGTTGACCCAACAAAAGTTGCTCAAAAAAAATAATAAAAATAATAAAAAGAAAATATTGGCACCTGGGCTTGGATATCGATTTTTTATTATTTTTTAGTACCAATTGTTGAAAGAGGTAGTGGTGTTGTTGTAATGTTGCTATACAGTTTGAAAAGGGTTTGGTTTTGAATTTTTTCGAAAGGATAGGGTCAAAACGAGGGCTTGGCGTGGCAACTAGGCGCATCCTTAGCTATATAAACCCCTCCAACAATTATGTTCCTCGTTTTCTCTCCTGATTGTGAATTGTTATATTTTACTTCTACTCGATATTTTCGGATTGCTATCCAATTTTGTCAGTGTTTAGGCTCGAGTACTGAAGATACCTCTTGCAGCAGATAGATTTCAAAGGCCTTAATCTCAGATAGTACCAGAGAAAGCCTTAGGAAAAGAATAACTTGGCGATATCATCAGTCAGTAGGTTACTCTTTTCATTTGTTTAGACATTGTTAGAAATCTATAGTGTATGCAGGGCTAAACTTGAATAACATAGATAAATAATAAAAGCCATTTCTCTTCCCCAGAACACTCGTCTGAGCATACTTCTCCACCATACCATACCTTACCATACCTCTCCCCAGCCCGAGCCTCACTATTCAATACCGACAGATTCAACCTCTCCCAAAGAAACAGATATCGAGCCCCTCAATAATGGTGATCCCCCCAGGGACAAGTGTCCCCTCCTGGTATACTAATACCGACCCAAAACCTCGCCCCCAGGCTACAACAACCTCTGCCACCGGCACCGGTGCTACAAAACCAGAAAATCCGGACCCACAATCTACTCCGGTGTTTTGCAAGCCCCAGTCTACGTCATGGGGATCATATCCTAAAAGCAGGCCGTGATCGGGTACTTGTGCATTGCCAATGTTGGCCGAGCGACCGATATACTGTAAGTGGATTCTCCAACATGCTCATAGACATATCTACTATTCGAGTACTGTTAGTAAAAGAAGATGATGCTGACAGGTACTCTACTAGTTTATTAGCCACGATTGAGGAGGGTTTCTTATGTTTCCCGAATGCTGCGAGCACGCTCTTTTACTCCTTTGTTTATTCTAATAATTTACGAGAAGGCTCTCCGTCCTTATTTTTCTTTTGTTGTGGTTAAGGTGTTTGGAGGAACGGAAACTTGTGTGGCGATTAGGATCAAGTTACTTTCGTTATATTTCTTTTGTGTTTTCTGTTGATGTTGCCATGAGGATAATGGAATTGATGAACACATCTTTTAGCTTTCACGCTACATACCTTTACATTAAGAGTCAGTTCGTTTATGCCAATGCTGTGCGGAGAAGATGTAACAACATGTTTGCCACAAGCTGCTCTGTTGCGATTTTTGTTTGAACCCTTAGTATACGCAATAACAAGTATCGCGAAAACCTGTTTTTCCGGGAGGGTTATTATATTAAATGCAAAGTTAATACTAACACATAAGTCTCACACTGTATTTCCTTCAGATTGAGTGCTAAATGTTATTGTCGCAATACTCAGTTAAACTTTGCTTCCCCTATTAATCACCAGTTGAATTATGTGAGCTTGATTATACAGATTTGAGACTCCGCATATCAATTCAATCAAGTTCGTTCACTCGTGTCAACCAGATCTTGGAACTCCCCGTGATGCACAACCCGCATGGATATCATCCCCCGGTGGCTACAGCCCACTGTCGTTTTTAAGCTGATGATCCAATGGTTCATATATTATCACTCGGGAAACGGTTTGCACTAACTTAGATGTTGAAAAAGTACTTTTTTTCTGATTTGTACTTTTTACGTATTAACTCTGCCTTCCACTATCACAGAGTTTGTCCGTATTATTTTGTCTCGATTTAAATCTGTCCGAGATTATTTAACTTGCTCATTTTCTTTTCATGTCCAAGCCATCCAATGGGTCCGGCCTTGAATGGGTTAACCCGGGTTGTTCGTTGGGTTGGGTTCGGGATTGTGCTTCCTTGGGTTGGGTCGGGTTGATGTGGACTAAACCCGGGTTACCCAACGAACCCACCCAATGTTATTCGTTTTGTTTTGAAATTTTAGTAATATTTTTGAGTGCAGTACTTGCCATTACCATGGAAACTATAGTCTGAGCACGCGGAATTCTAAAACAATATTTACTATTAGTAGAAAGGTGAAAGCGGAAGCTTCTCTAAATCGGGATAGTCCGGTAATAAAACCAGGCTTAAGAGTGGTTAGTGGTATTGGATTATCACTCACTCCGAAGGGTTATTACTCTGTTATCAATTCCGGCGATGTCTTCAGAGCCAGAGCGAGTATTCTCAGGAACCAAGAGGACGATATCCGACTCGCGCCACTCTCTCAATCCAGAGACAATCCAGTCAACTCAGTGTCTCCGAGGTCGGCAGTCCTCAAAGTTGGACTCTTGTGTCAGAGACTATTCTTCCCTGCGTCATATCCAATCACTTGCTACTTCCACCATCCCCTATCCTCATCATCAATCCTGTATCATAAGAATTTAATACTAATAATACATATTATATATTTCTTAACTACTTTCTCTTTTCATTTCTGCACTGACCCAATGGGTTCGTTGGGTAAACCCGGGTTATGCTTCCTTGGGTTGGGTTGGGTCGGGTCAGCCCTTTTTCGACCCGGGTTAACCCATTGGATGGCTTGTTCATGTCATAGTTCTATCAATCGATCGAACATGTAATATTATTCGTACTGTTTGCTTTGATCTCTTTTTCTAGTGCTATGCTATGTTCTATTTCATTGTATAAATAGTGGGTCTGCACCCTCTCAGATAAGAAAATCAAGTTCTTCAGTCTCTTTCTCTCTCGAAGTCTCTCGTCCACAGTTCAATATAGCCAAGATTATATAACAAGGCACTTGCAGCCTGGCTGCCAATGGAGATGTGAGTAGAGGGCCGGATTTGAGATTAGGATTCTTCCAAATGGTTAGCAACTCTCCGATATATCATTCGGGATTCTGGATAGACTGCAAACCAGACTAGCTACATAGTTTTTATTATCGGAAACTACTTTGTCAATCAAAAAAACAGAAAATAAGCACTTCGACTTACTTTAATGGAAACAGAGAGGGAGGAAGAATCGGGAAGGCGGAAGCATGTACTTTTTCAAGGAGAATTAAGATAACACCTTCAGCTTTTTGAAGCTATTTTCCGGGAGACCAAGTCGTATCAAAGTATCATACCGGGTAGAAACGGAGTGAGAGAGTATATAACCAAAGGACAGAAAACCACAGAAGTTTAATCCCTATCACCAATCAGCCTCTCTCAATCCCCTCATTTGAGCCATCCCATAAAGAAGTTATGGTAGAATAGACGTCCGGCAGTAGGCAAAGCCGAGGTTCCGCTCAGAAGATTAGTATGTTTTGGTTAATCGAACTAATAAGTCAATAGTGTTTGGACCCACAGCCAGAGTGGGCAACCAAAATCTACCACACCAGAGTCCGAATCGCACCCTCTGCTTCTCCCCCTTCTTTCTCCATCAGCAAAATACCCCCCCGCCTTCAGCTGAACCTTCAATACCTGTTTCTCTTATAGGCAAAAAGGTGTTGCCTTTCATTAGAGTTTATGGTGACTTGTTGGACGTCGTTGGCCTGAATGGAACTTGGCTGGTTTCCTCGTGGAGCACGGACGGACGGAAGTCACGAGTGAAGTGAGGGAACGAAGATAGAATGAAGTGAAAAAACAATGTATATAGTTGGCTGTATTATCTAGAAACATATGTCTGAGACCTTCCTACTTATACCCATAAGGGGTATCCATATATGGTGATATGATACTTGACCTTTGCCTGTGTACCGGGTA